AAAAAAAAAAAAAAAAGAAATGAAGACTCAGTCAGGTGCTGTGTAATCCCACCACTTTAGGAAACTTGAGGCAGTAGGATTGCTTGAGTTGAAGAGCAGCCTGGGAAACAGAAATGTTTCTATGCAAAAAAATAGAAAAATCAGCCAGGCATGATGGTGCATGGCTATAGTCCCAGCTGCTCAAGAGGCTGAGGCAGGAAAATCTCTTGAGCCCAGGAGTTTGAGAAGTGAGCTGTGATGAGGCCATGCTAGCCTGGGTGGCAGAGCAAGACCCTGTTTCAAAACAAAAGATCCAAACAAGCAAAAATAAAGACCCAAAGAAAGAGTTAAAGTCACTTATTTATATATGAGTTCTAAAAATTGTGTTCACAAACTTGCCCTAGAAAAAGTGCTAAATACCTCATTGCTGAATATCATTACTGTCAATGGACCAACACCAGTGCCTAGTCGACCCTTGAAAGAAATTCTGGAAGTCTTTTTCTGGAATGACCATTAGATCATTAGAACAACTCAGATAATTATTCTGTATGCTATAGGATTTATTATTTTTCCCAATCATTTTGATACCAGAATTTAGCTCTTCAGTAGTTCTTGGTCTTGGGGATTCGAAGAATAAACCCACGGACCACAGATCAGTGGTAAGATAGTGATACCGGAATTTTGTTCTTCAGTAGGTTCTTGGTCTCAGGGATTCGATGAATAAACCCATGGACCACAGATGAGTGGTAAGATAGGACTTTTATTAGAAGTTAGAAAGGGATACAGAAGTAAAAAGCACCAGAGCTTCTGAAAGGGGTAAAGAACTGAAGAACTCCCTTAGGAGTCTCCACGAGGGCTCTTTATTTAGGGGTTTTAAGACTAGAGGATTACACATGGCTGGCACTTGGTAATGAATGTAGTTCCTCCTCCACTAAGGCAAGGTTATCAGGTCCTTTACCATCTTTGTCCCTGAGAAGGGATTAGGGTGGGTGCTCCTGCCCAAGGTGGAACCACTCAAAAAACCATCACAGGCTGCTTTGTTCATGATCTTATCAGAGCCCAGAGGGTGTGTCCCGAAAAAGGGAGTGTGCTTGTGCCTGGAAATGGGGGTCTGACCTCTGAGCTCACCTGGGCCTAGAGAATGGGGGGGGGGCTCCGTGTCTATCCCTGAGTGGTGGAATCCAGCTCACCTGGGCCTAGAGAATGGGGGGGGGGCTCCGTGTCTATCCCTGAGTGGTGGAATCCTGTATCAATTTGACTCCAAAAATACCCTACTGTTGCTGGAATTTCTTTCT